GCTGGGCGTGGTGGCTCATGCCTATAATCCCAGCACTTTAGGAGGCCAAGGCAGGTGGATCATTTGAGGTTAGGAGTTCAAGACCAGCCTGGCCAACATGGCAAAATCCCATCTCTACTAAAAATACAAAAATTAGCTGGGCGTGGTGGGGGATGCTGAAATCTCAGCTACTCGGGAGGTTGAGGCAGGAGAAATGCTTGAATCCAGGAGTTGGAGGTTGCAGTGAGCCGAGATTGTGCCACTGAACTTCAGCCTGGGTGACAGAGCAAGGCTCCATCTCAAAAGAAAAGAAAAGAAAGGAACTGAAGAAACAAGGTGAGCCTAGGAGATCGTGGATTCGTGGTGTGCTAGTGAATGTCAATCAATCAATGTTCCAGGGCGAAAAATTCCTAATAGTGTGTGCCAATTTCTGTGGTGTAAATTCTCCCTCCATGCTGACTTCTAGTTTCGGGTGTGACATCTCTGAGGACAGAGTAGGAAAAAGATGTGTGTAATGTGCCTCATAAGTCAGCAGAGGCCGCATCCAGACACGACTGGAGCAAATCAACTCTTTATGGAATCTTTCTCCCGACAAGCATCTGTTTTTGGAACAGTTGCCTACAGGACTCTGTTTTCAAAGCAAAAGAGACTCATCTAAGTGGGCATCCACTATGCGGAGGGCCTAAAGCAGATGTTTAAAATACACAGACTCATTTGATGCCCCCAAGAACATACCATTTTATAGACGAGAAAACTGAGTCTCAGAGAGGCTAAGTAACTTGCTCAGGGTCATACAGTTAGTTCAGGGCTGGGACCAGCATGGGAATCTGAGTCTCGGAGAGGGTGCTCAGGGTTGCGAGGCTTGTTCAGGGCTGGGTCCAGCCTGTAAATCCTTTATCTTTTTACTCCCACTCCTAATTCCTTCAGTAAAACCTTCATCCCAGCTTAATGAAACTTTAATTCTAAAAGCAGATGCTCTAAGAGCTGGGACTTCTGGCGAGACCAGAGGAGAATGCACACAGGCCTGGGAGCTGGAGTGCCCACTGCCCCGTGTCTGCAGGCACCCTCGTTCCTGACCATGGTGAAGCTGTCCCTTCTCACTGGACAGTGGTTGTCAACTTTGTCATAAAATCACTGGGATGGGTGGCTCCAGTACTGTGAGGGGGAATTTATCTCAATTGTTTCCCCTAATTTTATCTACTTTTCATTTTCTGCACAGTCTGTCTTTAGAATCCACAGTGGGCCAGTCAACTCCCCCAAGACTGTGGCCAAGTCACTTTCCTCTTTTGGTGTCATTTCGCCTTTCTATAAGTAGTGAAGGGGTCAGCTGGCGGCCTCCCTGTGTCCACCCCAGATTCGTGCCGGCCTGATGAGGCTTTGTGTACAGCAACAGGAGAGGGGGTGCCAGTGCGTATTGAGGAATTACGTGTCCTGGGTGTGTTACGTGTATTCTCCACTTGACCTCCACAACTCTCTGGAGTATGCGTCATTACACTGAGGCCTTTTGTCTAACTGGGGAAACCAAGGCCAGAGCATTCACGTATCTTGTTGGAGTTTGCCCAGCTGGAAAGTGCTGGAGGCAGGAGTGGAATCCAGGGGTCTGGCTCTAGAACCTGGCTCCCAGCTACCGTGCCCTTAGACCTGAGGAAAGGGATGGAGGGCAGCCTAAAGCAGAGCTATCCTTTTTTCTGGCAAGGTTATGGTACTTTCTTGTGTGCTAGAGGGTTATGCATGTCATAGTTATTCAGCAGGTGGATTGATAGGTTTGTGGATAGAGCAGTGTGATGAGAGGTGGGTCCAGACACTCTGGTGCTTAGAACTTGCATTCAGAGGATGCATATTTTGAACCGATTGTCCATGTGGCTTGGAAGGCATGTAGGGGAGAGAGGGGAGGAGTGGGGGGCGGTGGCACATCTGCAAACGGGAACAGGGAACACGTTCAGCTCCCAGGGTTAGTGTGAGAATTAGATGAAACTGGCTGCACTGACTACACTTGGTCCCCTCTCTTGTCGCTCCCTGGCTCTATTTCCTTCGCGGCACATACTGCAATTTGTCCTTATGCATTTGTTTCTCTAAATGCTTATTGCTCCCAGGGCAACTTTCTTAGGATAGGCTTCTATTATATTCCTCAATGAAAAGCCATGATCTAGCAGGTGCCTGTCACATAATGCAAGCTCAGTTAGTTAGCATGAATGACTGAAGATATTGTATATAAACTACCTGGCACAGTACAGACAAGAGGTGGTCCGCTTCCAGGGAAACCCGGACCGTCTGAGGTAGTTATTTTGCCCCTAAGCACAAGCCAGCAACAATTCTCACTTTCACCAACCCCCTCTACACACATATACACACCAAGTCCTCCAACCCTGGTTCCAGTCTGCCTGGTGCTAAGGAGGGAAGCATGACTTTGCAAAGCTGTTTGACAGCAAAAGAGAACCACTGAGCCCCCGACACCTAAAATTGCTGTCTTAGCTAGAGTTACCATAATCAAATTGGCTCCTCCCTTAGCGGTTCTCAGATAGGAGGAAGTGGTTTGAACAGGGTGTACTTATTTCCTTCGGAACTTGTAGGGAGATTGAGAGAGGGCGGAAGTTGATCACGTGGTGTGACCTCAAGGGATATTTTATTGCAGGAAGAGAGGGGTAGATGGGAGGATGGATAGACAGATAGATGGGCAGATAAATGTACGAACAGGACCCTTGGCTGCTAACAAGAACCAAATGGTTTGGTCTGAAATATGCTGGAAATTTTGATGGGAATTTTAAGTTTCAGCCTCTCTCAGAGCTGGGAGAAATACATTCTTGATGAATGTCAAATAAAAACTGAAAACCCAGCAGCATCTATTAATTCAGGGCACTGATTTAGGCGCACTAGAATGAATAATTTCTGTCTTGAAGAAGGCTCATTTCCCTTGGAAATACATTGCCAGATTTCACCATTCAGAATGGGGAAGTTTTCTTCTGAAAGTGACTTAGGAAAGTTTTATTCAGAAAGTGACTTTAGTTTGCTGCAATGCAAACCTACCCATCTGTTTCGTTTATATTAGATGGTGGAACAAGCAGAAATACATATTCAGAAAAATGGAGGAGTGCCCCACTCATTGCTTTAGCAGTTTAATCCATCATCTGTAGCACTGCTTGTTAATAGCTTTCTGCCTAGGAAATATAAAATGGATATGATATATTTTAATTGTCTGATTTAGAAATGATAGCTATAGCTCCTATGTAGTACCTATTATCTCCTAGATAGTACCTGTAAACTTCTTTCTAACATGTAAAGAAACTGGTCTTCTTTTTACAAGGAAAATACTAACACTCAAAGGGGCAAAGTGACTTGCACAGAGTCACAGAGTTCTTTGCTGGCCCCAGAATGTTGACTCAGGTGCGGCTGATTGCAGCACAGTCTTTCTATGTTGCCATCTTGCTGCTCTGATCTAGATTCTAGATCTGTTTAAGGTGAAGGAATCTAATTAGATTTCAATTTGTCTATTCCATAGGTTTTTAACATTCTTATTATATTTTCAGAGCATATTAAGCACTCTTAAATAGAATTCTTCTTCTTCTTTTTTTTTTTGATAAAGTTTCACTCTTGTTGCCCAGGCTGGAGTGCAGTGGCGCAATCTCAGCTCACTGCAACCTGCAACCTCCACCTCTCGGGTTCCCCGAGTAGCTGGGATTACAGGCACCCGCCACCACAGCCAGCTAATTTTTGTATTAAATAGCACTCTTCTAAATGGAGACTATTAGTTGCAACATACTTGCCAGAATTTTGACCTGAGCTTACCTCTCCAGTTTTCAAAGGGCCACAGCCCAGTTTCACAGCTCAGCATCTCATAGCAAACCACAGAATGACAATTTAAAGACAATTTAAAGACCCTCTTCCTAAAGTGAAGAGGGTACCACTTTAAACACAAGCCTCAGCCCTGCATCCGCTTGTTCTCGCTGAGGCTCCCCCAACCCTTTAGAACCCCTCACTTGCCTCTACCTCCCACCAGCTCTGGGACTTGGACAAGCACCTAACTTCTCTGAGCCTCATTTTCTCAGTTTTCAAAAGCAAATAACAACCACCATCCTATAGGATTGTTCTGAGGATTGCAGAAAAATAACTTTTTATGCATTGCTCCTCTCCAGTCACTCAGGATGGTAGATATCACCTCCTGACACCCCTATGCATAGCCGCAAGTGAGGACATTCTGAGGCCAAAGCTCAGGTCACTTCTTTGACACCAGACTCTCTCCATATGTACGCACCTAAAAGAATGTGGAGTGTGCCTTTTTCCTTAGAAAATTCCAGTTGTCCTAAATCTCTTCCACCTCTAACATGCTGTTTCCAGAATTTATATACTCCACATGTTTGCCTTTCCTTTGATTCCTCCTTTCCCCCATACACATCCCAGCTGCTCAGATTGTTATTAATTATCTTTGGCATCTTCTTAAAGAAGATGCATACAATCACACTCCAAGTAGCACTACTGCAATCCCTCAACCCACCTGGCTCCATGCACCTTTAGACATCATGACTCCAGCCTGATAGCATTTACTGAGCACCTGCTGTATGCTGAAAGTGGCCTGGGCACTTAGCATATGTCAATTTCTTCACTTTGCCCTATACCTGGGTGCATTAGGTACCATCAGTGTCACTTTACAGATGAGAAAATGAAGGCCTGGAGAGGTTTAAATGACTCCCTCAAGGTCTCACAGCTAGGAATTCTGATGGCAAATCCCAATTGTCCTTTGTAAGAAGCCTGCTAAGTGCAAGCATTTTTGGCAGAATGTTTCCTCTGGCAACATCCTGTCCGTGCTCCTCCAGCCCTTCTCTCCACAGAATTATGCATCCAACACCCACTGAGCCACTGCAGTGTGCGGGGCACCAGGTTGGGGGCTGGGCTCCTTTCAAGACATTGCCCCACCTGTGCTCAGGGAGCTCCTCTCTGGCTCCAGAAAGTCGACCCCTGCCAACTGTGTGTTGAAGAGGTCCCGAAGTCTCTCCCCACCCCATCTCTGCCACATTCCCCCAAAATACCTTCACACACTGTGCATGACTTCTGTGGGAGCTGTCTGCAGAGGGATTGCTGGGCGCAGAGTCACTGCCTCTCCGTCTGTCAACTGCTGCTGCTCCGGAATAAACAGGCAGCCGGGCCTCTCGCGAGTGTGGAGAAGCAGCCCATGCTACCCAGAAGAACTGCAGTTGCTAAACTGGCCGCATACTTCCTCTGCTAGGAACGAGGAAGGCACAGGGCTTGCAGAAGGGCAGGTTCCTGTTTTCAGTAACCACTCTGAGTAGGCTTCTCTCTGCGAGGACTGGGAAGATAGACGCATTATTAATTTTTTTTACAAAGCACTTGAGAATATGGCCAGCTTAACTCAAGATTCTGGGATTTCAGAAGCTTGGTCTTCTTTCTCTAATTAAGAGGCAAATTGGTGGGGCTGTGAATTTGCTCTTGTGCATCCCTGGAGCTTGCTGGGCCCACAAAGGCTGTGGCTGAGAGCTGCAGCTTCTCTGATTTCGTTTTCCCAGTTTTTGCGGCTTCCTTCTGTTAATGGACCCCAGAGCAATGCTTTGAGATTAAAGGAGACTAAAGAGACACAATGACTTGGTGCAATGTTTGGGTCAAGGGAAAAGAATTAGAAAGAACATTATAGGATGGTAGTTGTTTGAATATATAGTGCACAGTTGATAATATTGTCCCAGTCTTAAGTTTCTTGGACATGGTAATAATAGTGTGGTTATGTGGGAGAATGTCTAGTTCTTAGGCAACACATGATGACCAAGAGGATGTCTCATATCATGACAGCTATAGCTTTCAAAGAGTTTCTTAAAAGAAAAGCTGCATCCCTATATCTATAGCTATCAGGTTGGCACAAAAGTTATTGTGGTTTCTGCCATAGAAGTAATGGCAAAAACCACAATCATTGTTGCACCAACCTAATACATCTACATCTATATATCAAGACACAGAAAGAGAATGAGAGAGACAGAGAGCAAATGGGAAAAAATGTTAATACTTGCTGAGTATAGGTGAAGGGGATATAGGTGTGCATTGTTCTACTCTTGCAACTTTTTGGTGAGTTTGATGCTAAAATACATGAGTCTTTATGTTATATATTACAAAACGTATGTTGTATATGTTATACGTTATGTAAATATTGCGTATAAAATCTCCCTACTTAAAGTGCGTGGGTCTCAAGAGAAACTCAGGTACATGGGGCTTCAGAGCTTATTGACGAAAGAGGTAAAAGTTTCTGCAATGCTGACCCCAAGATAGACTGGGAATTGCTTGCTTGAGCTTGGAATGCCAGGTAACCACACTGGGGTGGCCCTTAGACCCCCTCACAGCCCCTCACACCTCACAGAGAGGACAGAGCATCAGAGACTTGACTGATCTGCCCACAATCACACAGCGAGTCCCAAAGAAGAGCCAGGGCCGGAATCTACGGCTGGTGACCCAGGCCCCAGTCCAGTGAGGCCGACACAGCCACCCTGGGACAGTCATTTGGAAACCTCACTCTGTGTAGTTTGCAAAGATGAATCAAAACCCTCAGAGCTGCTTCTAAATTTAGCAGGCAGGCACTCTGCACTAGAGAGATGGTTCCTTAGACAACTTGTGAAAACACCCGCTCGCGAAGAGCATGCTGGGAAGGTACAAAGGAAATATTGCAAAAGACTGAGTGGGCAGTTTGCTTAACAGGTAAGAGGGGACAGGCAGAAATATGCAGAAGTGGAGATTTTCCCCCAAATTCACACAGAGGAGTAACAGAGCTTTGGACTGATAGTCAGAGGTATGAGTTTTGTGATGACTTTTTAATAGACACTTACCAAGCAAGAATCTAGTACAGATGAGGCTCTGAATTTATTCCCTGTCATTTCTTTTGTAAAACTTTATTGAGCAAGGCATATTCCAGGAACTGGGATTTAGCTGTAAAAAAAGATAATAATAATAATAAAAATAAACTGCAAAAGCCCTGCCCTTCCCTGTACTTAACTTAAAGGAGACTACAGAGACACGGCAACTTGGTGCAATGTGTGGGTCACGGGAAGAGAACTAGAAAGAACGTTATGGGGTAGCAGTTATTTGAATATATGCTACACAGCAGATTCTACTACTTCACATAGGAGGAGTCCTATGGGAAAGACGGAATATGTGACTATCAATTATGGTGACCCACTGAGGAAACTCAGTGGGTTGATGGGACCAAGGGGCCCAGATGTGCTACTTTGCACAGGTGGCCAGTTGTGGGGGGATGGGCTCTCTCTGGAGATATCATTAGGCTGAGAACTGTAGGAGGAAAGCAAGCCAGCTCTGGGACAAGCCAGGGCATGACAGGTGTGCGCACAAGGGACTGCTGGTTTCACACAAGCTTTAAAAGTTTTGGGGAAAGACAGTCAGCCCTAAAGATGTTCAAGTCAGAAGCAGAGGCAGACAAGAGAGAGGCCCATAGAGTGGGTTCCTGTTCAACGGGTCCTGTTCACAGGAGAAGCTGCAAAAGAAGGAGAAAGGCAGGATGCAGAACCCTGGAGGTCAGGGCTACAGACTCTTCTCTTTTTCCAGTGGGTCATTGGGTGACCGGGGGTGCTGCTGCTAACTTCCCCTGACCCCCAGCCCCGGGGTATTTATGACCTCCCTTTGGCCTCCTGGGATAACTGAGGAAACTCGGTAGATTTGAGAAAGTGTTCCTCCTACTGGACGCTGTGCTATCCCAAAGCCTGGGCTGTGCCAGAGCAGGGGAATGGAATGCAGGTGTCGGCCCTGGGCCCAACCAGAGAGGGCAGGGCTGAAACCCGATGCCATGCTAGACAGGTTAATCTGACCTTAGGCCTCTGTTTTCAGTAACCCCAAGGGGGTTCTCAGCCTCAGCACTTTGGACATTTTGAATCAGAGCATTCTCTGGTGTGTGTGTGTGTGTGTGTGTGTGTGGTGGAGTTGCAGGGCTGGCCTGTGCATTGGAGGATATGCCACAGCATCTCTGGACTTGACCCACTAGACGCCAGGAGCACCCCACACCCCTCCAAGTCGCGACAACCAAAAATGTCCCAGAAATTGTCAAATGTGCCCTAGAACCACTGGATCATACCCATCCCGAAATAAGACACGTGCGAAGGTTGTTCTTTCTTGGGTTGTAAAGTGCTGCCCTGAGGCCAGTTGGTTTTCCTGCTTTTGTGTGGACTCAGCTTTGCAGCACGTCTGCCTGTGCTCCCTGGTACACATCTCAGAAGCCTGATGTATAACAAGGCTCCTTTGGGTGGCTGTGTCACCCATCCTTCCTCTCCGCCATCATACACTTAACCCAAAAAGAGGAAATGGTTTGTCGTCTGTTCAGGAGTCCCAGGGAATTAGGGCTTGGAAGCTACAGTCTGGGCAGCCTGTGAGCTGCATCTTAAAGGAGGAGCAGTTTGCTGTCAAGAACTGGAGTGGGAGCATGTGAGCCACGAACTGCCTAAGGAAAATAGAGGAAGAGCAGGAGGTGGACTTCTCACCGCAGAGGCCCAGTCAAGGAGGATTGTATTGTGAGTTCGCTTCCATGTCTTCCCTGCTCCTCCACCACCCTGACCATTCCTCTCCCAGCCATTTTCCACACTGTTCCTCAGTGTTTCACACACCTTTTTCTTCTAATCCATGAAGAAGTCTTGATTCCAAGAATATTGTCATTTATTCAAGCATGCTTTTCATACTCCATACATTCATTCAGTTATTCATTCAACAAACGTTTGTTAGCATTCACTGTGTGCCAGACGCTATGCATGTAACTGGACCATGTGCCAGGCAAGACTAGGCCCTACCCTCAAGGAGCTCAAAGCCAAAAACTCTTTATCCCTGTTTTCCAAGCCCAGCACAAAACTACGTATTTGCTGAATTACTTAATTTTGCCAACATCTATTGTAAATTTTGTGTATGTATAACCTATATTCAGAGGACAGATAAGGAGAGAATTCTCAGTTTGTGTATGATGAATGTGTCTCCATCCCTCCCTGCCCTCAGGGAGTTTCTGATCTAGCAGAGGAGACAGACACACAGATCAAAACCTCAGGGTATAAAGAAAGACGTCGGTAGGGAAGGGGCCAGGAGAGGAGACCAGGAAACCTCTAGGGCTCCTGGTTTCACACAGGAACTTCATGGCACTGAGGCATGGCGGGACCACATTAGATTCCATCCCAGCAGCTTGGTCTTCTAGGTCCATGTACTGAGCACAAGAAGCAAAGACAAAAACACGTAGCAGGTGATGCCCCTACCAAGGACGTCAAGTGTAAGCATGGGGTCAGGCCAGGCTCTGCCGCACTGGCTGAATGACACTATCAGGAGGTCAGGCTTTAGGACTCACAGAGACACCCAGTACCATCTGTGTAGGAAGCAGCTGATTTCCAGAGGACTTTGCAAATTAATTAGAATTAGCTATCTGGCCGAGACTAATGGCCATAGGCAAATAACAACAATGCCAGCCATGCATGGATTGAGAATCACTCAGTTAAGTACTAGGCTGTGGTCATCACCTTTATTAAAGTGAAATGTTCCCCTATGTAAAAACTAGCTTTACACGCTTAACGTTGTCAGGAGCCAGTTGTTATATTTCTCCAACTGGGGATTGATGGGTTTCCCAAGGGAAGCAATAAAAAGCCACTTCTCCAGCTTCAGGTCACAGAGGAGTTCCAGGTTCTAGGAGGTGAAGAGCTCCTAAGTCAATTCAGCATCATGCAGCAGACGTGATGTTGAAGCCCTATGCTGGGTCAGAGTCACAGCTTGATGCAGTATGAGCAGATTTCCATTCCTACTTCATAGCTTGATTTATTTTCCTCTTTCAACATAAATATTCAAAAGTTTGGAAGAAGGAAAAGGCAGTCTTGGGAACTAGAAAGCTTTCTATCGATGGAGAAAACCAAGTGTAAACTAGAGAAGTTCAATACCACTGATCGAATGCAAGGCATGACACTTGGTGCTATAAAACTGTTGATGGGATTCCCATATCAAACCATATGACCTTCAAGATCGCGTGCAAGATAGAAGTTCTCGAAAGTAAAATTTTGCCCCCTCTATGGCTGGATGAGTGCTAACCCACTCATACAATAATTTATTTAATAACAGTTTTTTGAACCCCTTCTATGTGTTAGGCATTGCTCTGGGTACAGAGTTAGAGAAATAAATGAGTAAAGTCATAGAAGGGAACTGAGGGCATGGGAACAGTAAGAGAAACTCTCCCCTTAGAATGGTGACATTTGAAATGAGTCCAGAGTGACTCTGATATGAAAATCAAGAGGAAAAAACACCAGGCAAAGGACATAACAGATACAAAGGTTTGGGGCTGGAAAT